GGCCCACTGTGACCCCAGCCACTGACCTGGCCCACAGTGACCCCAGCAACTGACCGAGCCCATGGTGACCCCAGCCACTGACCCGGCCCACCGTGACCCCAGCCACTGACCGGGCCCACGGTGACCCCAGCCACTGACCTGGCCCACGGTGACCCCAGCCACTGACCCGGCCCCATGGTGACCCCAGCCACTGACCCGGCCATCGTGAACCCAGCCACTTACCTGGCCATCGTGACCCCAGCCACTGACCCGGCCCATCGTGACCCCAGCCACAGACCGGGCCCACGGTGACTCCAGCCACTGACCCGGCCATCGTGACCCCAGCCACTGACCGGGCCCATGGTGACCTCCATGGTGACCCCAGCCACTGACCTGACCCACCGTAACCCTAGACACTGACCGGGCTCATGGTGACCCCAGCCACTGACCCGACCCATCGTGACCCCAGCCACTGACCTGACCCACCGTGACCCCAGCCACTGACCCGGCCCATCGTGACCCCAGCCACTGACCTGACCCACTGTGACCCCAGCCACTGACCCGGCCCATCGTGACCCCAGCCACTGACCCGGCCCACGGTGACCCCAGCCACTGAGCGGGCCCACGGTGACCCCCACGGTGACCCCAGCCACCGAGCGGGCCCACGGTGACCCCCACGGTGACCCCAGCCACTGAGGGGGCCCACGGTGAGCCCAGCCACTGAGCGGGCCCACGGTGACCCCCATGGTGACCCCAGCCTCTGACCGGGCCCACGGTGACCCCCACGGTGACCCCAGCCACCGAGCGGGCCCACGGTGACCCCCACGGTGACCCCAGCCACTGAGCGGGCTCACGGTGACCCCCACGGTGACCCCAGCCACTGAGCGGGCCCACGGTGACCCCCACGGTGACCCCAGCCACCGAGCGGGCCCACGGTGACCCCCACGGTGACCCCAGCCACTGAGCGGGCTCACGGTGACCCCCACGGTGACCCCAGCCACTGAGCGGGCCCACGGTGAGCCCCACGGTGACCCCAGCCACTGAGCGGGCCCACGGTGACCCCCACGGTGAGCCCAGCCACTGAGCGGACCCACGGTGAGCCCAGCCACTGAGCGGGCCCACGGTGAGCCCCACGGTGACCCCAGCCACCGAGCGGGCCCACGGTGAGCCCCACGGTGAGCCCAGCCACCGAGCGGGCCCACGGTGAGCCCCACGGTGACCCCAGCCACTGACTCGACCCACGGTGACCCCAGCCACTGACCGGGCCCACGGTGACCCCAGCCACTGAGCGGGCCCACGGTGACCCCCACGGTGACCCCAGCCACTGAGCGGGCCCACGGTGACCCCCACGGTGACCCCAGCCACTGAGCGGGCCCACGGTGAGCCCCACGGTGACCCCAGCCACTGACTCGACCCACAGTGACCCCAGCCACTGAGCGGGCCCACGGTGACCCCCACGGTGACCCCAGCCACTGAGCGGGCCCACGGTGAGCCCCACGGTGAGCCCAGCCACCGAGCGGGCCCACGGTGACCCAGCCACTGAGCGGGCCCACGGTGAGCCCGTCACCTCTTGAGGGCCGAGGCCTCAGGCCTAGCGTCGTTCTTGAGGCCGAAGAAGGAGGAGAGAGCGACGCGGTCGATGAGGGAGAGCACGACGTCGCTGGCCGTCACCACCTCACACAGACGCGTGCCACGCTCCTGGCGGGGGTGGTCGGAACCATCGTCGGCACCATCGTTACTATCATCGTCACCATAGTTACCATCGTAGTCGCCATCGTCACCATCGTCACCATCGTTACCATCATTACCATCGTTGCTACCATCGTCACCATCGTCGTTACCATCGTCACCATCGTCACCATCATCGTTACCATCGTCACCATCGTTACCATCGTCGCTACCATCATCACCATCGTCGTCACCATCGTTACTATCGTCACCATCATCACCATCGTCGATACCATCGTCGTAACCATCGTTACCATCGTCACCATCGTTACCATCGTTACCATCGTTACCATCATCACCATCGTTACCATCGTCGTTACCATCGTCACCATCGTCACCATCGTCACCATCATCACCATCGTCGTTACCATCGTTACCATCGTTACCATCGTCACCATCGTTACCATCGTCACCATCGTTACCATCGTTACCATCGTCACCATCGTTACCATCGTCACCATCGTCACCATCGTTACCATCGTCACCATCGTCGTTACCATCGTCACCTTCGTTATGATCGTTACCATCGTCACCATCGTCGTCACCATCGTCGTTACCATCGTCACCATCGTCACCATCGTCACCCTCGTCACCACCGTCGTCACCATCGTTACCATCATCGTTACCATCGTCACCATCGTCGTTACCATCGTCACCATCGTCACCATCATCACCATCGTTACCATCGTCGTCACCATCGTCACCATCGTCACCCTCGTCACCACCGTCGTCCCATCGTTACCATCATCGTTACCATCATCACCATCGTCGTTACCATCGTCACCATCATCACCATCGTTACCATCGTTACCATCATCGTTACCATCGTCACCATCGTCACCATCGTCACCATCATCACCATCATCACCATCATCGTTACCATCATCACCATCGTTACCATCATCGTCACCATCAACATCACAACCATTGGTGAGTGTGGTGGTGAGTGTGTTGGTGAGTGTGGTGGTGAGTGTGTTGGTGAGTGTGGTGGTGAGTGTGGTGGTGAGTGTGGTGGTGAGTGTGGTGGTGAGTGTGTTGGTGAGTGTGGTGGTGAGTGTGGTGGTGAGTGTGGTGGTGAGTGTGGTGGTGAGTGTGGTGGTGTGTGTGGTGGTGTGTGTGGTGGTGAGTGTGTTGGTGAGTGTGGTGGTGAGTGTGGTGGTGAGTGTGGTTGTGAGTGTGGTGGTGAGTGTAGTGGTGAGGATGGTGGTGAGTGTGGTGGTGAGTGTGGTGGTGAGTGTAGTGGTGAGGATGGTGGTGAGTGTGGTGGTGAGTGTGGTGGTGAGTGTGTTGGTGAGTGTGGTGGTGAGTGTGGTGGTGAGTGTGGTGGTGAGTGTGGTGGTGTGTGTGGTGGTATGTGTGGTGGTGAGTGTGTTGGTGAGTGTGGTGGTGAGTGTGGTGGTGAGTGTGGTGGTGAGTGTGGTTGTGAGTGTGGTGGTGAGTGTAGTGGTGAGGATGGTGGTGAGTGTGGTGGTGAGTGTGGTGGTGAGTGTAGTGGTGAGGATGGTGGTGAGTGTGGTGGTGAGTGTGGTGGTGAGTGTGGTGGTGAGTGTGTTGATGAGTGTGTTGGTGAGTGTGGTGGTGAGTGTGGTGGTGAGTGTAGTGGTGAGGATGGTGGTGAGTGTGGTGGTGTGTGTGGAGGTGTGTGTGTGGTGAGTGTGTTGGTGAGTATGGTGGTGAGTGTGTTGGTGAGTGTGGTGGTGAGTGAAGTGGTGAGGATGGTGGTGAGTGTGGTGGTGAGGATGGTGGTGAGTGTGGTGGTGAGTGTGTTGGTGAGTGTGTTGGTGAGTGTGGTGGTGAGTGTGTTGGTGAGTGTGTTGGTGAGTGTGTTGGTGAGTGTGTTGGTGAGTGTGTTGGCGAGCGTGGTGGTGAGTGTGTTGGTGAGTGTGTTGGTGAGTGTGTTGGTGAGGATGGTGGTGAGTGTGTTGGTGAGGATGGTGGTGAGTGTGGTGGTGAGTGTGGTGGTGAGCGTGGTGGTGAGTGTGTTGGTGAGTGTGTTGGTGAGGATGGTGGTGAGTGTGTGGGTGAGTGAGTGTGTTGGTGAGGATGGTGGTGAGTGTGTTGGTGAGGATGGTGGTGAGGATGGTGGTGAGTGTGGTGGTGAGTGTGTTGGTGAGTGTGTTGGTGAGTGTGTTGGCGAGCGTGGTGGTGAGTGTGTTGGTGAGTGTGTTGGTGAGTGTGTTGGTGAGCGTGGTGGTGAGCGTGTTGGTGAGCGTGTTGGTGAGTGTGTTGGTGAGTGTGGTGGTGAGTGTGGTGGTGAGCGTGGTGGTGAGCGTGTTGGTGAGTGTGGTGGTGAGTGTGGTGGTGAGTGTGTTGGTGAGTGTGTTGGTGAGCGTGGTGGTGAGCGTGTTGGTGAGTGTGTGGGTGAGTGAGTGTGTTGGTGAGTGTGGTGGTGAGTGTGTGGGTGAGTGTGTGGTTTGGTGAGTGTGTTGGTGAGTGTGTTGGTGAGTGTGTTGGTGAGCGTGGTGGTGAGCGTGTTGGTGAGTGTGTGGGTGAGTGAGTGTGTTGGTGAGTGTGGTGGTGAGTGTGTGGGTGAGTGTGTGGGTTGGTGAGTGTGTTGGTGAGTGTGTTGGTGAGTGTGTTGGTGAGTGTGTTGGTGAGTGTGTGGGTGAGTGTGTTGGTGAGTGTGTTGGTGAGTGTGGTGGTGAGCGTGGTGGTGAGCGTGTTGGTGAGCATGGTGGTGAGCGTGTTGGTGAGCGTGGTGGTGAGCGTGTTGGTGAGTGTGTTGGTGAGTGTGGTGGTGCGCGTGTTGGTGAGCGTGTTGGTGAGCGTGTGGGTGAGTGAGTGTGTTGGTGAGTGTGGTGGTGAGTGTGTGGGTGAGTGAGTGTGTTGGTGAGGATGGTGGTGAGTGTGTTGGTGAGTGTGTTGGTGAGTGTGTTGGTGAGTGTGTTGGTGAGTGTGTTGGTGAGGGTGGTGGTGAGTGTGTTGGTGAGTGTGTTGGTGAGCGTGGTGGTGAGCGTGTTGGTGAGTGTGGTGGTGAGTGTGTTGGTGAGTGTGCTGGTGAGTGTGCTGGTGAGTATCTTGGTGAGCGTGGTGGTGAGTGTGTTGGTGAGTGTGGTGGTGAGGGTGGTGGTGAGTGTGGTGGTGAGTGTGTTGGTGAGGATGGTGGTGAGTGTGTTGGTGAGTGTGTTGGTGAGTGTGTTGGTGAGTGTGGTGGTGAGTGTATTGGTGAGTGAGTGTTGGTGAGTGTGTTGGTGAGTGTGTTGGTGAGTGTGTTGGTGAGTGTGTTGGTGAGCGTGGTGGTGAGCGTGTTGGTGAGGATGGTAGTGAGTGTGTTGGTGAGTGTGTTGGTGAGTGTGTGGGTGAGTGAGTGTGTTGGTGAGTGTGTTGGTGAGTGTGTTGGTGAGTGTGTTGGTGAGTGTGTTGGTGAGCGTGGTGGTGAGCGTGTTGGTGAGGATGGTGGTGAGGATGGTGGTGAGTGTGTTGGTGAGTGTGTGGGTGAGTGAGTGTGTTGGTGAGTGTGTTGGTGAGTGTGTTGGTGAGTGTGTTGGTGAGCGTGTTGGTGAGCGTGTTGGTGAGCGTGTTGGTGAGCGTGTTGGTGAGCGTGGTGGTGAGTGTGTTGGTGAGTGTGTTGGTGAGTGTGTTGGTGAGTGTGTGGGTTAGTGTGTTGGTGAGGATGGTGGTGAGTGTGGTGGTGAGTGTGGTGGTGAGCGTGGTGGTGAGCGTGTTGGTGAGTGTGTTGGTGAGTGTGTTGGTGAGTGTGTTGGTGAGTGTGTTGGTGAGTGTGTTGGTGAGCGTGTTGGTGAGCGTGTTGGTGAGCGTGTTGGTGAGCGTGTTGGTGAGCGTGTTGGTGAGCGTGTTGGTGAGCGTCTTGGTGAGTGTGTTGGTGAGTGTGTTGGTGAGTGTGTTGGTGAGTGTGTTGGTGAGTGTGTGGGTTAGTGTGTTGGTGAGGATGGTGGTGAGTGTGGTGGTGCGTGTGGTGGTGAGCGTGGTGGTGAGTGTGTTGGTGAGTGTGTTGGTGAGTGTGTTGGTGAGTGTGTTGGTGAGTGTGTTGGTGAGCGTGTTGGTGAGTGTGTTGGTGAGTGTGTTGGTGAGCGTGTTGGTGAGCGTGTTGGTGAGCGTGTTGGTGAGCGTGTTGGTGAGCGTGTTGGTGAGCGTCTTGGTGAGTGTGTTGGTGAGTGTGTTGGTGAGTGTGTTGGTGAGTGTGGTGGTGAGTGTGTTGGTGAGTGAGTGTTGGTGAGTGTGTGGGTGAGTGAGTGTGTTGGTGAGTGTGTTGGTGTGTTGGTGAGTGTGGTGGTGAGTGTGTTGGTGAGTGTGTTGGTGAGTGTGTTGGTGAGTGTGTTGGTGAGTGTGTTGGTGAGCGTGTTGGTGAGTGTGTTGGTGAGTGTGGTGGTGAGTGTGTTGGTGAGTGTGTTGGTGAGTGTGTTGGTGAGTGTGTTGGTGAGTGTGTGGGGGAGTGTGTTGGTGAGGATGGTGGTGAGTGTGTTGGTGAGTGTGGTGGTGAGCGTGGTGGTGAGTGTGTTGGTGAGTGTGTTGGTGAGTGTGTTGGTGAGTGTGGTGGTGTGTTGGTGAGTGTGGTGGTGTGTTGGTGAGTGTGTTGGTGAGTGTGGTGGTGAGGATGGTGGTGAGTGTGTTGGTGTGTTGGTGAGTGTGTCGGTGAGCGTGGTGGTGAGTGTGTTGGTGAGAGTGTTGGTGAGCGTGTTGGTGAGCGTGTTGGTGAGTGTGTTGGTGAGTGTGTTGGTGAGTGTGTTGGTGAGTGTGTTGGTGAGTGTGTTGGTGAGTGTGTTGGTGAGTGTGGTGGTGAGTGAAGTGGTGAGGATGGTGGTGAGTGTGGTGGTGAGGATGGTGGTGAGTGTGGTGGTGAGTGTGTTGGTGAGTGTGTTGGTGAGTGTGGTGGTGAGTGTGTTGGTGAGTGTGTTGGTGAGTGTGTTGGTGAGTGTGTTGGTGAGTGTGTTGGTGAGCGTGGTGGTGAGTGTGTTGGTGAGTGTGTTGGTGAGTGTGTTGGTGAGGATGGTGGTGAGTGTGTTGGTGAGGATGGTGGTGAGTGTGGTGGTGAGTGTGGTGGTGAGCGTGGTGGTGAGTGTGTTGGTGAGTGTGTTGGTGAGGATGGTGGTGAGTGTGTGGGTGAGTGAGTGTGTTGGTGAGGATGGTGGTGAGTGTGTTGGTGAGGATGG